GGCAACCATCGAGGCCCCACAGCAGCCAGACACCTCCTCGAGGTGCGCCACACAAAGTGAGTCACTGGCGACCCTGTCGCTGAATGCCTCGTCGTGATAGCAGGCCCTCGTGCCACTGTGAAGCAGTTGGCCCTTATGTCACAAGGGAAAACGCGTCACCGTACAGCGTGCAAACCGTCAAATTGAAGAAACACAAAGGAAAAAAAAAAAGGGGAAAAACAAAACAGAGAAATGCCCTCACCGCATTCCAACGCGGTCTCCACTTAAACAAAGGGTCAGTGACAAAAACACGCTGAAAAACAAATTCAAATTACTCATCACCGTCTGTCCGCAGATTTGTTCAAAAAGTTCGAGAACAAAAAACAAAAACATTACTGGAAATCATTTCCTTGTTATGAGAGCGCACACACACATTTACCCAAACGGTTCACAGCACAATTATGAATTTATCTACATTTGTCAGGAGACTCTCTCACTACATCAGAAAAAAACTGCCATAACGAACACGTGCAGCAGCAAAGCACCCGCACACAAAAGAAGCCCTCCGCCCGAAAAGGCCGAAAATGCAGCGCCATCGTGCAAAATCAAAACCGTACCATTGGCACCGTGGCCAGCGGGAGTCGAGGGCGTACTGTGGGCACCGTTGTCAGCGGGAGCTGAGGGCGTACTGTGGGCACCGTTGTCACCGGGAGTTGAGGGCGTACTGTGGGCACCGTTGTCACCGGGAGTCAAGGGCGTACTGTGGGCACCGTTGTCACCGGGAGCTGAGGGCGTACTGTGGGCACCGTTGTCACCGGGAGTCAAGGGCGTACTGTGGGCACCGTTGTCACCGGGAGCTGAGGGCGTACTGTGGGCACCGTTGTCAGCGGGAGTTGAGGGTGTACTGTGGGCACTGCTGTCACCGGGAGTTGAGGGCGTACTGTGGGCACCGTTGTCAGCGGGAGTCGAGGGCGTACTGTGGGCACTGCTGTCAGCGGGAGTTGAGGGCGTACTGTGGGCACTGCTGTCAGCGGGAGTTGAGGGCGTACTGTGGGCACTGCTGTCAGCGGGAGTTGAGGGCGTACTGTGGGCACTGCTGTCAGCGGGAGCTGAGGGCGTACTGTGGGCACCGTTGTCAGCGGGAGTTGAGGGCGTACTGTGGGCACTGCTGTCAGCGGGAGTCGAGGGCGTACTGTGGGCACTGCTGTCAGCGGGAGTTGAGGGCGTACTGTGGGCACTGCTGTCAGCGGGAGTCGAGGGCGTACTGTGGGCACTGCTGTCAGCGGGAGCTGAGGGCGTACTGTGGGCACTGCTGTCAGCGGGAGTCGAGGGCGTACTGTGGGCACTGCTGTCAGCGGGAGTTGAGGGCGTACTGTGGGCACTGCTGTCGCTGCTGCTGCCCATGTGTGCTTCCGTGCCAATCAGGTCCTGGCTCAAGAACAAGGTCCTGATCTCCTCGGCATTCAGCTGACGGTTGTAAAGAAGAACATTATTCACCGTCACGTGGCTTATGGTTGGCATATCACTCCTTTTATACCCGCCAACGTAGAAGTGGGAGATGTCAGGCGTCCTCTCGTCTGGCACAACGGTCTGCCCTGAACCCTCCAGAGGTTCTCCATCAATGTACACGGAGCCAATTTTATTCGCCATCGTAAGAACCACGTGGTACCTCTT